AGGCTGGCATGCAATGCAGACAAGAAAGCCAGTCAGTGAAAATGGAAATGGAGGCGTCAGGGGGCGATGGACAGGCTGGGGTGAGGGGAGAAGGGGGACGTAGCAGGTAACAGTGGAGAGGCACCTGGCGAGTCAGACCGCCTTCCAAGTTGCCCAACCTCCAAATCGATTCAGAGGTTTTTATGGGTCTCTCAATTTGATTCAGATTCAAGGATTCAGCCTCCGAATCAGGCCAGATTTTCTCCAAATTGAATCGGCGACCAAAGCTTGGATGGATGGATGGATGTAGCTAGCTACAATTTTATTACTTGTCAAATAGGCCAGTTTTTAAATAAATAGTTCATGAGTCATCTACCAAATTTAACTTTTTTTCCTCAGAGGAGAATTAGTTTTGATCCTCCTGGTCTTCTGGAGGGCTGAAGTATTTTACTTATTCCTCTCTTCCTATTCAGTCTTTAGGTAAAAGGACACGCCAAATGAACACTGCATCCCTGCTACAACATTTATGTTCACTTTATTAACTTTCTAAGCTTTCTTCTTCTAATGTTTCAGTAAACTAATCACAGTAAACGAGACTTTAACCTGACTCGTCAACTTGAGATTTTTCATCATGGCTTGTTCGTAAAAAAGGATTGAAATAATTTTGGATTTAAATGAAGTTCCAATTTTTTTAAATGTTTCTCAATCATGCCATTCGTTAGCCCTGAACCAAGTTCTAGTCTCCTAAGGCACGTGCACTGAGACCAAGCACACGCTCAAGTTACATCCTTCAGTTCTTTGCACCACCTGGTGAATTTCAACTGCAAGTTCAACACGAATTAGGAGAGAGCACAGCAGGAGGGACCAGCTCCGCTTTCATCTCCTCCTTAGAAGTTATCATACGAAAAAAAAAAAAAAAAAAAGACTGCCATCTATTTCTGTAATGTTTTTTGTTCTCCCCAACAGAAAATGCTATCAAAGATGGCAAATCTAGCCATGCATCTGAATTCCATACAACCACCTCATTCCACCACTTAGCGACCATATGAAGACTCTGAAGGAAAACAATTCCTTGACTTGCCTTTGAGTTTAGGCAAGCAAGGCACAGCCAGGCAGCCAAAACGTGCCGATTCCAAGCGCTGGAAACCTGAGCAGGCCACGCACGTCTCCAGCTTCCAGAGCAGTAGTCACCAACCAGTGGGTATCGATCCACCGGTAGATCTTGGAGCCTCTTGCAGTCGATCTGAAGCACACATGTGCCCCAGCCCAGCAGGTCAGTCTCTACCGGGGGGAAGGGGCCGGGCTACATTGAGGCCCCCGTGGTGAGGGACAGTGCCACAGAGGCAGCAGCAGGGGTAAGTTGAGTGGGGCCCCAGCCATGTGGGTCTTACCTGCTGGGGAGGTGCACCCCCGAATGTTTCTCCCTCTGCCTTGATCTGTCCCTCCTTCCCTCTCCACAGACTTACCTGCTGGGCAGGGGGGGTGGCAGAGCACGGTTGATCTCGGGTTGCCTTTAAACACCAAAAGGTGACCTCCTACTTAAAGAGGTTGGAGACCGCTGTTCTAAAGGCAGTACAGGTCACCAAAACAGGAGCAAAAGTGAAACATGTAAACGGGTACTACAAGCCTGCCTACTCATTGTTGCAGGAAAAAGATGGGAGGAAAGGCAACAGTATTACCCTCAGTGGAACCACTGGGATACTCACAGACAGGAATGAGGAAAAGTTGGTAAGAAAACCTTGAGACAGGTACTGCATTCCTCTCGGATAAAAAGCACACAGCTCCAGACTAGCCTTCTCCCCCATAACGCACGCTCTAGTCTGACATCCTTGCCTATCAACACACAAAAAGCCATACAAAGGAGGTTGCATGTCTGCAAAATCTTCCATTTCCTTTATGCAGTGGTTAAGCCGCCAGTTCCTCTCACCCAGCCCTCAAATCTGCTATCAATTATGTATTGTCAAAGCTGAAAATCCTATGGTGAACTGTAATCGCAGCAACAGCATGAACTAAATTAAAACAGCTTCAACCAGGCATTGATTGTTGGGCTGCTCATTTTAAATGCAACAAAATCGTAATTTTAACATTTATCACGCCGTTTCACTCCACTGTGGAATTCAGCATCCAGGGGACTTGCCAAGGCATTTGTGTTGATTGCCTCCAAGGACATTGGGCCCTGAATCAATCAAGTAAGAGCAAGTTACTGGAAGCAGAACATGGGATTTTCCAAGCGTGCTGTGTTGGCCAAATTCCACCCTTACTGAAGTCAAAGGCAGTTTTATTGTTCATCCACTTATGAAATCTACTTGTGAAAAAGGAGCTTTACTGAAACGCAACAAAATCCATAGACTTGAGCATGACAGAATCTGGTGCTCAGAAAAGGGAAGGAGCTCTAGCACAGGAGTGAGCAAGCTCCTTCAGCCCCTCCTCACCCTTAATTCAATGCATCTTTAATAACAACTCACACCTGCCCTGCTACTCCAGTCCTGGGCCTCTCCAGCAGACTCATTTCCAAGAGACTGTGTGGAGCTGAATAAAAATGAGTTTTACTGTGCAAAAATGTACATTAATAGCTCTGAGCAGAGCCCTGCCTGGGCACACTTGTTTATCATTTATTATATTAGCATTCAAAGTGCATTAGATGCTTTCCAAGCACAGCAGGAGTCCTTGTGCAGAAAAAAACCCAACAAAACAACAAACTAATTAATTAACTTCACACACAAAAATAAATCCTAACAAACTTGGTCCATACCAGTACTCTCTCTCAGCAAGTAAATGATATTTTAAAGTAACTTACCTCTGTGCCCTTCAAATCTTCAGACATGCGCACGCATGCGTCCACTACTGCTGTATCTTACAGGGATTGATTCTTCCTTCTGCTAAATGCAACATTAACCCCCCATGACTCTCACCTTAGTCCTTCGGTTTACTACAATGAGTTGACTTTCATTCTATTAAGAGCGTTCAATGGAGCTGTTTTCTCTGTGATGAATTCTAATTACTCCAGAAACCCAATTGTTACCAAATTCAATTACAAAAATCAAGCTGCCATTTTAGAACGGTAACTTTGTTCAACAAGACTCCTAAGCAAGCACGCAGAGCTGGCAGCTAAGCTAACACACACAGCAGGCAAATCTGGTAACACTGTGGTAAGCGGCAGGGCCACAGCATCCCTTATAGCCATTTTCTGAACAAAAGCTGCAATGTTACAAACAGGACTAAGAGCAGAGGCTGGAGGGCAACCGATGCGATCCTGCTGTGAACAGATCGGACACAGTTGGCTTCAGATACAGACGGAGTGATCTACATATTCTAAAACACGTAAAACAGAATTCAGTGACGCAAGTCAGGTGCTCGGTACAATCACTCAGTTCCAAAATAAATACATGGAGACTAAAAACGACAAACTTTAAGTCAAACGATTCTGTAGGAAATGAACTTGGAATAAAATACAGTTAACAGAAATACCACAATTAAATGCAGGAGCAAATAAAGGAGAGCTGGGGGGTAGGAGGGGATTACAAACTAAACTCATTATTTCAATATTTATTTTAAAAGGAAGCTACAACATTTCAAGGCCTAAGTCTGATTGTGCATGTTTCCAAACACCAGAAGCAGATGCCCTGAAGCTGGTCTACTACCTTCTTAGGAAGATATTAGGTCAAAGGTTTTTCCACAGCAAACTAGTTGTTTGCCACACTGAAATGTTCTGTTAACCTAACAGTCACGTGCGTTTTCCTAGACAAAGGAAGTAGTAAATGGTTACTGCCCTTATTTGAAATCGTGCGTCTCAGGCACCCTCCAACAATTCTGACAACAAATGGATGTGTTATGTGGGTGCACCTGCCTAGAAGGAATAGCGAAGCCCCGCAGCAAGGAGCGCTGGTGGAGTTATGGAGGAACAGAAAAACAGAGTCAGCATATGCCTAGTCAAAACAAACTTTTCACTTCTTAAGCAGAGTGAACCAGCTGTTTAACAAGACTTAAAATCTGTCAAAGACTTTGAGCTAGAAGAGATGAAGAATATGAAAAAACCAGATGGGAGAAAAACACAGAGAAAAATAGCTTACTAAATCCTTGCTGGAATGAAGGAAGCATGACTGAGCTTTTAGGAGTGGTCATACTACGCATACAGGGAGCACATCACTGGAGGAGTAGTATGAAGTGTTGAGACTAGCACGGTAGGTGTCTGTTATAGTCTGCCATATCATAACTATCAAATTCAGGAGCATTTTAAATGCATGTTTGTCCACAAAAATGTTGACTTGTTGCTCCCTTGAGTTAAGTGTTGGTTAACTAAGATTACAGCATGCTAAAGCACTTCAACAGTTAAAAGAGATACAAACATAACGTGCAGGTTTTCCTCACCTTTACATATCTAGAGCGTATCATGTATATTTTGAAAATCAGACTGACTTCAAATAAAGAGGTCATAAAAGATCTATACTTAAAATTAAATAAACAAATTGTTCACAAGTGAGATTCAGAGCAAAAGTATTTAAACTGTCTTAGTTGAAACCCAAATTACTATCTAGTAAGTTAGTTTTGAAGTTGTGTGTGCCATCAATGCATTCAAATTTCAGGGGTTGCATGTTTAACTTCACACATGTGTAAGTATGCAGTAAAGCTAAAACAAAATTAATATAAATTTCTCCTTTTTTATCTTACATTTTCTCATCACCTTGCAATATTCTACTTCCTATAGCAAGTGATTTTGAAAGTCTTTTTTTTTTTTTTTTTAAACATAAAAAGCATCACAGAAGAGGTCAATTTTAAGCTAGCTTTACAAAAAAAAAAAAAAGAGTCTATAGTACCCCCGATTAACAGATTCAGGGTTATTTTTTTATTTTTGCAAAATGCAGTAAGTCTAACACCTTAGTTTTTCCATATCTATGTTTTTGTTGATCCTGTACAAGAGGAAGTAGGAATTTAACTTGGGTAGAAAAACAGTCAGCACTGCTTTAAATTTAGAAATTTATTTTTGTTTAATCCACAAGCTTTATATAGCTTTAGTTAAAAAAAACAAAAACGAAAAACAGTGAAAACATGACAATATCCAAAGTTCAGGTTCTCCAGGTTTTCAAAGACCACAGCTCTGAAAGTATATCATTCAGAAGAACCGCAACGAGACAAGAATTATGAATGGGGCAACGACATCATCTCACAAATAAAATTTATGTAACTGAAGGAACTTTTCTGGGACTGCTGATCATGGAAATTGCCCTTTAAAAAAAGAACATAAGAATACAAATGAAATTCCAGTGTTCCAAATCAACTTGTTACATCAATATAAACCCACAGTGTCCTGGCAAACAATATGCTTTCATTTATGTACCATTCTAAATTTCTATTCTTGATTCACTTTAATGGAGGCTATACAGGCAACATTAAAGAACAAAGATTATGGCATTAAAATATCTGTATGTACACCTTTGATAATTCAGTGGTTTTGCTTCTGGGTAAATCTACAACCCACAAAGGTTGGTAGTTTAACGCAAGTAGATGCAATAAACTCCGAAACATGAACTTTGTAAATACTGTATACGTTTTGGTCATTTTAAAGAAACTGCAGAGTTGCCAACAATGTTTAAAACCTACTAAAAAAAAAAAAAAAATCTTACTGCTTCTAAAGAAAATTTCTTACTCTAAATGAAATAACATCAGCTGTCAATGAAAGAATGTCACTAGTACACTGTGGACGCCTTTTGTAATGTAAATCCATGCCCTTTTACATGGTGAACCTCAACCTAGCAATTACAACAAATGTTATATTCTAAAGCTCAAACACGTTTTAGCAATTTGAAATTGAATTCTGAGTACAAACCAAATAAAATGTACATATATCAAAGGTTTCAGCCTAAGACGGTGGTGACACTTGTGCCTTCCTCATTGATCTCAGTGCCTTCTCTCGCAGATGCTTTTCTAGATCATCCAGATTATCTTCAGCTTCACTTTCAGTCTCCTTAAAGTAAAAAAATAAAGTAGTTATTTCTGCAGCTACACTAGGTAATAGAAACTGATATAGTACCATTTTTACTGCAGTTTCATATCAGACTAACACAGGATCTCACTACAGTTTTCTGCCTCTAAGCCAGCTGACATGCTAGAATCTTGTCATTTAATCAGAAGAAGTTTGAAGCACATCAATTAATATACTGGCTAAAGTTAACTATTTGCTCCAACTTGGTGGTGTAATTTTTAGAAGGACTTAAAAAGCGTGCATATTTATATAGAAAACATGTTGGGTCCTGAAAGACGTTAGATATGAACTATCTTTGCCATTTAGCAGCTTTCTATATTCTCTGTAGATACATAAAGTCAATTTTGCATTCAAAATTTCAATGGTGCGAAACCTGGTCGACAAACACAGCAGAAAGCATATACAAACCAACCTACAGAATTAAGAAAATAAACCATGTCTGTAGGTCTGTGAAGCAGTACCTGCTTAAAGTCTTAGGGTACCTGTACTTTTAATATTTGAAAAATGGCAATTTTTTTAAATGATTACCTTTAAAATAATAATACAAACACTCGCATTTATATGATAGATTACATTTTTCCAGGGTAGAAATTAGGAAATTTACTATTTCTTGAACTTCCCCGCCCTGACGATCTCATCTATACTGTCAGTCCCTTTTTTCAGCGTCCACTAACAGCCTCTCACGAGCAGAGGACTGAAAGAAAGGGAAACTAGAATTACTCACCCATAAGTAGCATTATTCAAGAGCATTCCTCTATATCCCAAAACTAGGATAATGAAGGGGCATCTGAACTAAGTGGCAGCTTGATACAGGCCCTACTAATTTGAACACTGTTGTCCAATCCTCCCGTTAATAATGAGGCCTGTAAAGCTGTTATTCCACTGCATTTGAAACCATAGGCTTGGGGGCTATTTCAACATTAAAGACCACGACTAACCTTCTTAGGTTCTGTCTCTGCTTCTTTGTCCTCCTGTGGTGACGTGGTAGTAGCTGCCACTACAGCAGCAGCCGCTGCTGCAGCAGCCTTCTCTTTCTTGTGTTTTTTGTGTTTCTTGTGCTTTTTATCCTTTTTGTGTTTCTTATCCTTCTTTTTCTTCTTCTTCTTCCCCCCACCTTCCTGATCAGAATTCTGTAAAAAAGAGCAATACATATGATTTTTATGCCTGGCGTGTCAGCTTTTTTATTTACTTTGTTTAAAGGGATTCAAATCAATCCTTTTGTGCAGGTCAGTGCAATTTATGTGCATAACTAAAAAAAACCCAAAACAAAACAAAAAAACCCACACAAACTCAACGTGGACTCAGAAAAAAAATAAATCAAACAACTCATATACCAAACCCATTTCTTAGCAGAAGCATTCAAGCTCAAAAAAGAGATAATCTACATTGGGAAGCGACATGCTTGTTATGCATTAAGAGCTTAGAAGCAATTTATTGCAGCAATACAACTAAGAGCTCTACAGATGGTAAAAATGAAAGGGATTAAAAAAAAAGTACATTAAACTCCATCTACAACTAGTGTACAGCGCAGCAAGTCTGGAAAGGTTTTCTGTATTCCATTCCAGTGCCCAATGCACAAGAACACACTGCATGCCCAGAGATAAAACTCCATAGTCTCCAGTTAGCCACCTGACCAGTCACTGCCAGTCAACAATGTTTCTACTAGCACAGGGGTTGTCAACTGGGGGCACGCATACCCCCAGGGGTACTTGGGAGGGCCCTATGGGGTAGGCACGGGTGGGCGGGAGGCAGGGGAAGTTCACATGGTGGCCACTGCCACTTCCCACCACCCCACACTGCCGCTGCTCTGTGTCCAACTGTGTGCCACCCCACCACCCCTTGCTTCGCATCCGGCCGCCAGAGGTACACCTATTAAAAAAGGTTGAAAACCCCTGTACTAGCACCACATATGGAAGTTTTGCCCTTGAAGTGCGACATGACTTGTAGTTGTCAAAAACCATTACTCTATATTCTACATTTTCTTTTAAAACCAAAGGGTCTTCAGATTAGTAATCGTCTCAAATTTTACAGGTCCCAGTAAAACGTGGCCTCACTATGATTTGGGACCTTAGTAATATCAATAATCTCATTAAAACAACATACCTCCTACAAATTGTGCATAATTTTATCATATTGTATAGAAACACTAACTGTACGCTGAGTAAAAAAAGTACTTCCCTCCTATTTGTTTCATATGAATTTCCTAATTTCAGTGAGTGCCTCTAGTTCTACTGATCTGAATCTTAAACTGGAGTTCCTGTTCATTTTGTTCACACCCTGCGTGGCTTTATAGACCTGTATTATATCTCCCCATCAGCCTTCTTTCCAAGCTGAGGAGTCCTAGACTTTCAGTCTCTCCTGGTACGGTTGTTGCTCTGTACCACTGATCATCATCGTTGAGGTTATATACATTGTTTTAAAAGCATGTGCAAATGTGAAAACTGAAACGCTGATTAAATCTGGACATGAAGTGCATTTTAGACCAAATGAAAAACTTTTATTTTAAAACAGAACAGCCTTTACTATCCCATAATTTAAAAGGTACTTTAACGCACTATGGAATGGGTTGGGATTGCCCAAGGACCACAAGCAAGCATTAATAGGATCAACTTGTCATACATTTGACAAAAGCCCCCCATGCCTATTCTACATCAGTAGGATTTTTATTAGAAGAAAACACATACCCTTGCAGGTGATGGACTCTGCGTGGGGCTTTTAGCCTTTTTCACAGGTTGTGGAGACCAGTTAGTGGAAGGGGACCGAGACCGAGCTGGGGATGGAGGAGCTTGATGTTTCTTAGGTGCTGGCTCAGGTGATCCTGATGCAGACCTGGATGAAGACACTCTTCTCGCTGACTGCGGACTTGGTGTGGAAGCCCTTAAAAATAAAAAGTCTACAGTCAAATGCTTTTGCTTTTTATTCCAAATTCATACAAAGCAACCACATTTCTCTGTAACTAGCAATGGCAATGTTACTAAATTGTTACAGGTCTACAAATTAATGTTCTGGTTAATCCTTTAATTTCTGTTAGAATTCAGCTTCAGTTAGCTGTAGCATCACAAAATGATCACAGAAAGGAAGATCCAAGACATTACTAGGCACAGCAAAATGGCACGCCAAGAAGATACAGCAGACTTAAAAGAATCTCAGTATCTTTCCTTAGACAACAGCTAGAGGTGCACCAATATATCAGCTGCATATCAAGATCAGCACCGATTAAAAGGAAAATTAACATTATTGGCTATTGGCTTTTTTTGCTGGTGTAGCCGATAATGCTACCTATAAATGTCGTGTGCATGCATGCAGCTGCAGCATGGAGGCAGCCAGGAATTCAGCCCAGCAGTTTGGAGAGCAGCACCCTGCTGGTAGTCTGGGGGGTTGGGGGGGAAGAGGTGTGGGGCAAATCAAGGCCCACGGGGGGCAGGGCGCCGAGGCAGCAGTAGGCACTGCCCAGTCAGGACAGCAGATGGGAGCCTGGGGCTAGGATCGGGACAGAGCCATGGGTGGCTCTTCTCTTGCTTTAACTATTTTTACTTTCCATATCTATAAGCTAATTTATTTTATTTTTTTTACTTTGTCTTCTTGGGTTCTGGGGTTCTTGACACTCTTCTGATGGGTCGAGTGCTTGGAGATGGAGACTGCCTTCTCTGGGGTGAAGCTGAAGCTCCCCTTCGCAGCGGTGGTGGACTTGCCGAGGTATGAGAAGCTCTAGGCCGTGGTGAAGGTGAATGCCGTTTGTTTTGTAAGGGGGATCGGGTTTCACGATTAGACCTGCTGGGGGGAGATCCCTTCCTATGCTTGGAAGATAGAGATGGAGAACGTCTCTTTGCAGCTGGAGAACTTCTTTGTTTTGGTGGAGGAGAATGCGAGACTCTGCGTTTCGACTGTGGCGAAGGTGATGCTCTTCGCTTTGGCGGGGGAGGGGGAGAAGTGGTTCTTCTCTTCGGGGGAGGAGAAGGAGAGTATCGTCGTTGTATTGGAGGAGAGTATCTTCTGGGAGAAGGTGAGCGTCTGCGTGGAGGTGGCGATGGAGACCTAAAAATACAAGTTTAGAAGCTGTTATGGTAGCAAGAGAAATGCACTTGGATCAAAGGAAAGATTTTACTCCCATGGTCCACTTTTAAAATATTCTTAAACAGTATTTAGTTAAGAACATCGGAGCATACCTGAAATGAACAGTTATTTCCATATTAGACAATGAGAGCACTTGCTTGCTACACTTAGGACTTTGCCAACTAAACCACAGCCAAAGAAAATAAAACTGATTTAAAAAAAAATTAATTCCCATGAAAAGATTTGTGTTAAAGGCATCAGTTGCATAAATCATTGTATTCTTTCTTTCAGTACATAGTTATACAGCTCTACAAACACAGTATAATAGAAAGCAATCAATGCAGTTCAATAGTTACCTTCGCCTAGGTAACGATGGTGATCTGCGCCGTCTTGGTGGAGGTGCTGGGGAAGGTGAGCGTCGTCTTCTGGCTGGAGGCGGTGACGGACTTCTCCTCCTCCTACTATAATGAGAAGAGTAGCTTAAAAGAATCTAATACCCGATGGTTTAAATTTTTCCAGCTGTTGTCATTATCCCCGAAAACTGTGCAATATTTAGCTATTTCAAACACTTCTTCCAATGGGGATTCTATTACAATACTAATATTGTCTAACAATGATTATGTCCACAAGACCAAAAGGAAACCGCCAAGTTTTCTCAGAGTATGGCATGGAAGCTGTAGTCTTTGCCTTATCATACAAGCTTTTAAAACTCAGACTAAGAAAATATTTATTATTGAACCGGGATACCTAAATGGTTTACAAATTCAGAGGCACAGAGATACCAACCAATTCCAAGAAGATGTGTCTACCACCAGCAAACTTAATACTGCAGAGAGTGCAGGCAAAGGGAAAAACAGAAAAAGAGGAGGGACTGAAGGACTACCTTTGTTAATATAAAGTATTTGGAGCAGAAACTAGGTTCTTTATGCTCTAAAGAAAAAGGTTTGCAAGTTATTTCTAAGGAGGAAAAATGTGCCAAATACAGTCCTTCCAGAACATTAGAAAATCTTAAATCAGCTTAATCTGTGCAAGAAAAATACAGCTTTTCCATGACTCAAGTTAAATAAAAATGCAAAGACAGACCAGTAACAAAAAAGTTACAGCAGGACAGCTTCGAACAAACAAGATATTCAGTGAATATAACCTACTGGTTAAGATGTAATTCAAAATACCCTTATTTTTCCACAGCAGTATATTAGATGCTTCACAACTAACTTTGTTCATGAAACCACATACCTGAACTCACATGAGTTAAAGAATACCCATTTGTTTTCAAGCATCACAGCCAAACTAATAATACTATCTAGTCACACCTTCAACATTTAACATAGAGAATAACTAAGACTAGGAACATAGTTTACACAGATACAGAGACCTTAGCTGAATTTATTCTTGTTTAAAATTATGAAAATTGTACACAAATTCAAGGAGTCTTTTGAAGACTGGCAAATTCTAACAGGCACGCTCAGCATTTAAAGGCAGAAATTAGTCGCAATCTGGCTCAGAAAGGTTACGTCTTACACTGTAATTAATTTCTGGTTAGTAGTGGCAATAAGAAAGCTACCTTCCCATAGCATTCATAAATGCTTCAGTAGCATATGAAAAGAATCAAGCAAGCTAAATTGCCTAAGAGGAACAATTTAGGGAAACAGTTTTTAATAGCAGTGCAGGTAAGAACCTCATACCGGATCTTATTTCACCAATTACAAAAACTGTTATTAACTAGGGAAATAGGGAGGATGTTAAAATTTCACTTGCAAAAAACGAAAAAAACTGTGGAAGTGGGCAGCTGGAATTTCCTTGGCCAATTATCTTCTTATCTGATTTATCTTCCTGCAGGTTGAGCAGGGGAAAGGGAAGCTGTGCTCATCATCTGTGACAAAAGTATGGCTTGTCTAAAAGATCTTAAATTTAAAACTCTAACAGATTAATATCTAACCAACCTTTTAATCACTGGTGATTGCCACCTCTTTCCCATCTGCATCCTGACAGCAGTGGAGAAAAAACAAAAGTCAAAATTTCCGTTTGCCACAGATCCGAGGCAAATACAAACATAACTCATAAGTTTCAAGGCCCAGATCAAGTTAATCCTGCTGTACTAGCTCCTAATATTAAACTCTAGGGATAGGGGTCTAAAACCAACAGAAGTCAATGACTGATAGATTTTAGATCAGGTCCTAGCATTATAAAGGAAGTCTACTGCTAGTATCAAGATTTTAAGCTTTCATCCCTAAGGTCTAAAATGTATGTGAAGACCACCTTTTACTCAGGCTGTACAACATTTGGACAGTAATTATCCCAGCCCCCCACCCCCTATTTCTGCTGAGGGTCTGCAAACAATACATGTAAATGTAACACAAAGGAACAGCCCATTTTTAAGCTATGGAGTATGTACCTATATATTAGGGCTGTGCGAAGCTTCGGTCCCCAATTTGATTCGCCCTGATTCAGTGGCCAAATCTCCAAATCCAAATTGAATCAGGAGACCCTTTAGTCTCTCCAAATCAAAATCGGAACCCTCCAAATCCATTTGGAGAGATTCGGCTGTAGACACAGCTTTAAATGTTTTTTCTACATACCTCAAGGTACCGAGGGGTTTCTGAATGCTGCGATGCTGGGGTGCATGGAGCATCCCACACGAGTGCGGGGTCTCCCCAGTGTGCTTGGCAGCAGACCTGGAAGTGGACCAGAAGCACTTCCAGGTCTTCCCGGGAGCACGCCAGGGCCCCCTCCCGCCCCCCCGGCTCGGCAACTGGTGCCTCCTGCGTCTGGGAGGTACCCGGGGTCCCCCTGTAGTCGATCGCTGAGCCGGGCTAGGGGGGAGGCCCTGCCCCGCACACTCCCCGGTAGACCCAGAAGTGGACAGGAAGTATTTCTGATCCACTTCTGAGTTTCCCACCAAGCATGTGGGGGGCCCCCCAGCACTCCTGTGGGATGCTCCATGCGCCCCAGCATCTTAGCGTTCATGAACCGTGTTGGTACCTTGAGGTATGTAGAAAAAACATTTAAAGCTGTGTCTACAGCCGAATCGCTGATTCTCTGAACCAGCATCGAATCTTCAGATTTGGCCAAATTGAATCCAAATCAACAAATCGAATCACTGTCCCCAATTGGGGCCAAATCCAAATCGAACAGGGCCCATTTCACACACCTCTACTATGCATGTATCTAGCTATCTGTTGTGCAGAAGTAAAAAAATGCTTACCGAGGGGAGGACTCTTTTTGCCGTTTTCGCGGAGAAGGTGACGGACTCCGTGAATGCGAGTGTCGCCTGCGCCTACCCACTTCACCATTCTTTACATTTGATCTTTTAGGTCGTTCCTCTTCAGAGGAAGATGATGAACCAGAGTCTATAAATACAGAATTTATCTCTGAAAATTGTTTCACAATTTATTCTTGCACAACTAATAGCTGAACAATAGATATGGCTTTATTCTTAAAGTAAACCCTCTTTTTTTGTCGTGTTATTTATTTTTCATACTTGCAGACAGCAACAGTATGGTAGAAAGAAGTACCAGGACAGCAAGATAAAACCCACAATTTCAAAACAAACCGCT